CAGGTCAACGAGAATTAATGCCAGTGTCCCCACAAAGCAATAACACAGAACCAGACAATCCTCGTACCTGGTCTGCAACTTCTGTAGTAGAAGTGACTGCAGACCGAGCTTTACACGGACAAATTTTGAGATGTGTTGCCTTGCACGAATCTTATCCTGCCAAATCTCAGGATATTGAAGCCAGATTGGATGTCAGATGTAAGTTATAGAAATAATAATATTCATATAATACATAGTAAATATGCCTGTAACTCTACGTTGTAGAGATGCCGCGTTCTCTATAATTCAGCCATGTGGTTTTACATGGTCCATCGATTTTCTTTCCCTGAAAATCAATAATGTTCAAATTACATTTTGAATATAATTTGCAAACGCTACATCGATGTCTGCGGTGAAAGAAAACAGCGCAATGTGCGAAATACGAAAATTACAGCCAAACACTCAATAGCCCAAGCAATAAAACGAAGCTGTATCAAACAGTACAAATGCGTTCCGTCGAATAGACATTGATTTGTTTTTACATAAAAACAATGCTGGTACACGATATCGATTTTACATTTGTACACATGCTAGGAGGAGGACATTGAGCAATTGCAGCTTTATTATGGGAATCTGCTTTTATTTTCTATATTCGGTATATGTTGTCCAATTGATTGATCACTTTTAATTTTTAAATACATATGATTATTGGTTGGGATGTCTTGAAATATTTTATTTTGTCTCGTTCGTTCAGCGGCGCTAGGCGGCCAGTTGTCCCGTACAGCAGCATCACTCCTGCAAAAAATACTCCCATAATGATCGGCTTAATATATGACAAATTATGTATAGTTTGACAATGATTTTATTTTACTCAAAAACAATGTCGGTACATGATTTAGATTTTACATTTGTACACATGCTAGTAGGAAGACATTGGGCAATTGCTGCTTTATTATAGGAATGTGCTTTTATTTGCAATATTTGGTATAGATTACCCGACCAATTGATTTATCACTCGGTTCGCTTAGAAGTGTAGTTTTTAATTTTTTAATACATAATGGTTAATGGTTGAAAAGTCTTGAAATATGTTGTTGTGTCTACTTCGTTTAATAACGCTGCTGGGCAGTTCACTGTCCCGTACAGCAGTATCTTACGTACCATAACGAACGGGTTAATAAATGACAAATTATGTCTATTTTGACATTTATTTTGTTTTGACATAAAAAAATGCCTGTACCTGATTTAAATTTTACATTTGTACACATGCTAGTAGGAGGACATTGGGCAATTGAAGCTTTATTAAAAGAATCTGCTTTTATTTTCACAATTCGGTATATGTTGTCAAATTGATTAGCAGTCTAATCTGTTAGCTTCACTCCTTTGGTAGTTTAATTTTCAATTCTTAAATACTTCATGGCTGACGGATGAGAGGTCTTGAAATATTTTTTGTGTCTGGTTCGTTCAGTAGCGCTGAGCGGTTTGATGTCTCGTACATCTGGATCACTCCTGCGAAAAATACTATTTTGACAAATAATATATGACAAATTATGTCTATTAGGGCAATGTTTTGTTTTTTGTACATAAAAACTATGCTGGTACATCATGTTATTCATTTGTACACGTGGGACCTTGGGCTATTAATAAGACCACATTATAGCCCGAAATTCAGTCTGTATCTTTTCACTAGTGGGTGTTAATGTGAATAAAATTTTGCCAGTATAAATTGATTATTCACCAAAATATTAGTTTTTGCAAAATATTAGTGCTTATAAAATAATAAAATCGTTGATGGTCACCAGTATCCGCATTCTATATCCGATGTGCCGCAAACTGTACACATGATTTCGTATTAAAATGTAAATTTCAAGCCGGTTACACCCGCCAATAACACGGCAGTCGAAAGCAATGACATCAATGATCCGCGAATTGAATGACATTTTCCCAATATGTATACGTTATCAAACAGATAAATCATTAAACTATTTATTTTTATGCCAAAACATTTATACTGAGCAATATGACTAATATAAAAGATTTAGAATTACTAGTCGTAAATACGATACCCAAAAAATGTGAGCCATTTTATTAATGACTTTTACTAGAGCGTTTTCAAAATCAAATTATTTATTTGTTCGGAATTGTAATTTTTTTATTGGATGCAATTGAATACTATTTATCTACATAAATAATATAATTTTTAATCAAGTTTGTAATAATTTTTTGTTAACTTTCATTTTGCATCTTATAATGTGCAATCTATAGAATTGAGTTTGAGTTGTTTTTACACCATAAAATCAAAAAAACCAATTCATTGTAATCCTTAATTAAATTACAAAACAAAATCACCACCTCGATACATGATGTTATAAATTATTTAAATAGTTTTTAAGAGGTATAGATAATAATCGAAAATATTTAACTAATCGCAATATTTTCAATTTAAAAACAAACCTTAATAGGTTTCATGTACGCTCAAATTCTCCGGTAAATTAAATCATGTTTCAAATGCGATTATTAGAGTAGATTGTGCTGCACGCAAGCACTTTATGCGATAAATAATTTAGTTCTGATAAAAGTTATTTCAAAAGTTCATCATTCAATAAAACATTCTATGGTTGGTTTAATTAAAACTTTAATCGACATTATATATCAGTGGAAATATTTAAATTATAATCACAACATACCGCGTTTTGTGAAATACACAGACAGGTTTTATTTTCAATGAAAATTTTAGTTTCGAAATATAAATGGTAATTTATAAACAAATTGAATTGTTCGATTTATTTAGTATAACTATTTCAAAATGTTTATCATCTTACAAAGATAACTTTATTTGTTGGTCCGTTCTGTTGGTTTATTTTAGATTTTGTCATCAAAAACAAAATAGTGATGATGAACTAAAAAATATAATAGTAATGATGGAAAAAAACAAAAAATACCCTATCGTTGTTTGACACATGAAAACATTGTCAACTTAAAATTTGAACTTGAATGATAATATATGGTAAATTATGAGTAAGGATAATGTAATTTAGAAATTACTATTGCCAAAAAGCAACTTAGATTAAAAAATTAAATATAAATAACGTGTTATATTTATCGTGACATTTGAGAGTTCAGAGAATATCAATTTAATTTCTATTTGTACTTAAATGCCAATATTTGTTAAATTCATAAAAAAAACTAAATTTTATCGATTTTCCCAATAACATGATTTCGATACAAATTTTTCTCAACCTTAATGGAAATGTCAATTTAGAAAATATAAAATTGAACTTATTGTCCTTTATATTTTATGTAAAATATTCAATCCTTAATATCTGAGTCAAATTCTTCATACAGTCATCCTCTGGTCTAGAAATACAAACGCACCACTTTCCAGAATTATATCATTTTACGGCGGTCGTGACATAAAAACTTATGCTAGCTCACACACAATTTCCGGACTTGCAATCCTGCAATATGCTAGATATCAGGATTTTAAATGAAACTTTCCTTCTGCCGAATATAACACGTCATACTTGGCAAACGATTTTTGAAACGCAAGTAACATGGATTCGAAATATCACATATGATAGTGGAACATCTATATTTTATTTTTTCGTGTTGTGTTATTAAAATTTGTAGTTTAATAGAAGCTTCTGTGCTCACTATTAATTGTTAATTTTTGAATAATTACATATGTATATACTACTTCTACATCAATGAATAATAAAAACTTTAAATCTTTTTTATTGGATTTCCCTGGGGACTCGTGCGTAAAGTTTGGTTTTTAACTACAAGCTATTTGTTTTACACTCGTCTCAGACAACTTGATATCGAGCAAAAATGTCAATAGTTTTCATTTTAAAATATTAAGCTTTTCGAGGCATTAGAAGAATCTAATAATAATCTTATCATAGAAAAAATGGACACACACAGGGTTGCTTTCTAATAACTCTAGAAAAATGACTTACATCTCAATAGCTCATAAAACATATATCGTTCTTAATTAAATATGCATTTTAATTATGCATTATATATATTGACATAAATAGCATAACATATGGATAGAATAACAGAAAAAATAATGTATATGTAAATAATGTATGTATATATAATGGGTACATTATATATTGTGAGAGGCAAATAATAAGTGAGAAATGAATTCTAGAGAGTGTAGTTAGAGACAATAAACGAGTAATTAGAGATGAGGTGTGTTAATAGAGACGAACGTTATATATATATATATATATATATATATATATATATATATAATGTATGTGTGTTTAGGTTCAAGCAATTGCATTAAACCAGGTTCAACTTCCAACCGAGTTAGTTCAATATCGATGAAGTTCAGAACTGCCAATATACCTGTATTGCTTTAGATAACTTATGAATTAGTAATGAATAAGTTAATCGATATTTTAAACTGAATATAGTACTTTAACTATGATAGAAATAGTTCCAAATTTGTAGAAATAGTTCCAATTTTACATGACAAAGATTTTTGTATCTTGAAGAAAAAGATATATGATATGTCTAATAACTTGATAAAAATCTAAACTAGTGGTGTTTTTCTTGATCTAGCTGTGAATAACAAATAAATTTCAAACCTTTGATTAATAATTTTTTATTAAAATATAGTATTTATTATATCTTTATGTGAAGTATTTTATACCCACTCATCATCAATATAAATAGTGATGTGACGGGAAAAGTAAACATTTTGAATTTATTCGAAATATCAGATATTTTTGTTGAATGATTATTATAGTTTATTTGATATTTGTTTATTTTGTGCAGGTTCCAGTGACTATTTGAAAAATTATTATTATTATTACTATTGTATATATATTTAACAGTAGTCGAAATTTTGTGTATCCTATAAGTAACTTGACTTCTTAAATGAAGTAGCTTAGAATTATTATTTTTAAAAAAAATAATGCTTCCATTTTTCTGCTTAATGCTTCCACTTTTCTTTTTCTGAGAATTACATCTAATTTTGAAAGTAATATCCAACATTAATGGTATATTGATTAAACTTTACCGATTGGATAAGTGTCACTTTAATCGCCAATTAAAACTATTAGACTTCTCGGAAGAGTAAAGCTCTCACATAGTTATATAAGTCACTTTTCAACTGAATTCCTTTTTGATTCGAGCAGTTTCTATTCGGAC